TCAGGCATCGCTGCCTGTTTTTAAAAAACGGCAATTTCCCGCTCGCGTGCGCCGAGCGGCGCGCGCGAGGGGGCGTGTCTGAGCGGACGTCTAAAGACGCCCGCTCAGATCTAGAGAGCTCCGGGTCGGCCGTTTTTCTACTACGGCCGGCCCGGAGGCAGTTAAAGTTACACATAAAAAAGAATAAAAAAACAAAACATTTTTTAAAGTCCCCACCCATACATACATGCATGCAAACATGCGTCGGGGGCACATACGTGCAAAAAAGACGATTGCGCCCATTACGCCGCACATGTTACATATCGCCGCGAACGTCCCAGTGAGAGCAATAAGTCTAGGGCCATCAATCACTGATAACACTAAACTGATGAGCGGTAAAAACGTTTAAAGCGTCGCCTATGGCTAATTTTGGTTGCGGTCGTTTTCTGCGATGTCGCGGGTGCGCGCAATTTTAAAGCTTGACATGTTTGGTGTCTATTTAACCGACGTGACCTGATCTTTTATATTTGACCAAAAAACTGGGTAATAATAAATGTTTCCTAACAATGTTACAAAAAAGGTTTTTTTTTCAAAATTTTAAGTAAATTTTTCCTAATTATAATAAAAAATAAAACCCCCAGTGGTGATTAAATACCACCAAAAGAAAGCTCTATCTAAAAAAATGGTATAAAATGCATTTCAGTACAGGGTTGCATGACGGAATAAACGTCAGTCAAAGTACTGCAGCGCTGAACACTGAAAAATGGCCTGGCCAGGAAGGGTGGTCTAAACACCTGGTCTTGAAGTGGTTAAAGTAACATCATTTTTAGTTAAAATTCCACTCAATAGAACATAGTTATTCCATGTAACTCATACAATACATTATCATTGAAGTAATTCATTTATGTAACACAGGTAAATTAGATCATCAAAGAAGTCCCTGCTTCATTCGAGAGATAGCCCAATAGGGCGAAACATGTCAGGGCTATCTCTCGAATGAAGCAGGGACTTCTTTGATGATCTCATTTACCTGTGTTACATAAATGAATTACTTCAATGATAATGTATTGTATGAGTTACATGGAATAACTATGTTCTATTGAGTGGAATTTTAACTAAAAATTATGTTACTTTAATAAATCAATTTGTATTTTTATATATAAAAAGAGAGCGGTCTGTATTTTTCGAAAGCCTCTCTACCTAGGGTCTTGTCATACCCCTAGATAGATTTCTCCAAGGAATACAATCTCATGTTTAGTTATTAATTTGTATTGAGATTGAGATACATTTTTGTTAATAGTTAGGGTACCTGAAAGTATTTTTAAGATTTAACTCCCGATTTTAGTGTCACTTTAAGGAACAGCCGGTGTGTGGCAGTCACCTGCCCTTACTATGCATCTATAGCCAAAACTTTTCTTTAAAAGTCAGTATTTGCATAGGGCTTCCTTACACCTCCACCTTTGGGTAACAATTTTAGGCCTGGCTATAGGTCGTTCAGGCACCTATTATGGAAAAGGGGGATATGCTGGTGGACCCTACAAATGGAAGTTTCAGTATATCACAGGGGTTCTATTGGCAGACCAGGAAGGCAAGCGAGAGCTAACAAGGTGGTTCCTAGTTTACAGTGGTGTTACTTCGCTTTAAGGCTTTGGAATATAGTTTCAATTGTTTTTGCATTTAGTTTCATTTGAAAACATAACCCTGTAAGCTGCAATAAGGACCACGGAATGAGACAGTGTAACAGACTGTAATGGGACATGGATTACAGTCCTGGATTTCCCCGGAGACACAGAATGTGTATAATTAATACATCAGACTTGGCTCTCAGCAGTAACAATACGAGGAAATTATCTACTAAGAGGAGATTTGGGAACATTCGACTAATCTGAGAATTATTAACTTAAAGCTGAAGGTCAGTCTGCTTATATTTGGACCTTCCCTGGTTCCCCGCCCCAACAACATTCTAAAGGACATTTTTAAATAACTGCACATAGCTTACTAAAAACACCACAGTATCCTCCCTCAGCACTTCTCTCAAGAGGCTTCATCCCTGATGCAAATATCAAAATTGTGATGTGGGCATTTCTAGGCAGACTGTATTTTCATGCAGGCTGACCTAAGTTATGTTCACATGTGATGCCGATCCTATATGATTGAAAGAACTGAAATCCAAAGAATGAAAGGAGCGGGTCAGGGACAATGAGGCTGGGGATGAAAAAGCTAGATGATGCTGGATGTCCTCCACTCAGAAAATTAGGTGGGTTCTATCTGACTTGTTGCAGCTTCTAATACAGAATGTGAGAAGCACACAGTGTGCAGTGAAATCAGAGTCAGTAATTTCAGTACAAGAGAGGAGCCTCTACTACTGTGCAAGACTGAATGGAAGGCTAGAGTTCAGCTTTAAGCAATTATTTCTCTTAAGTCTCATAGTTAACATTCTATAGTTAAACAAACTTGTTTTTCATTTAGTTACAAATAGAGTCCATCCTGGTCCTCTTAGGCATTAGTGATGTAATGAGCCCAAGCATTGCATCCTGGGAAGGTTACATCAGCAGAGCATTGCTGGGAAATCCCATCTATAATCTAATGAGACCTCAGAGAAAGGCATTTTCCTCCCCTGTCCTACTCATCCTCCCCTGTCCTAGTCACATGTGCCAGAGTTCCAGAAAGTAAATGGAGAGCTAGTAATCATTACTAAACATTTCTAAAAGGTGTGTTTGATGTTATTTTAAAGATAAGGATAAAAAGGTCCACTTTAAGGCAGCAGATTAAATTTGTTCATAATATTTACAACAAAAGCTGAAAAGTGGCAAAACAAAACAATTCTTCAAAACGTAACACAATCACATTCTAAGAGCCATTCTGGAAACTTTCTGGAGATGGACAGAAACTCTGTGATTGTCCACCATCATACCTGATGAACTTTATACAGAACATTAAAGAGACAGAGAAGGAAAAGAATCACGTTTGTAGATTAAGTTACCAAGGAGTAGCCATAGATATGGATCTTCTTGCTGCTGCTGGAATGGGAAATTCGGCCTCCTCCTAGGCACTCACAGTCCAGCACACGATCTTTCTCAATCTCTGAGGCCACGCGGTCATAGATATCGGCTGGAACAAAGCACAATCATATTCTAAATGAGCAAACGGTGGAACAATGACGAAGGGCTCGTTCACAGCGCACCTCTCTATCCATTGCGAAGGGGTGCGGGTTACGTTTTTAACTTAAAATGTCACAAATTTCCATATCATTCAACTCTATGCACCGCAGTGCACTGCGGTGTGATGACATGCAACTAGGTGCAGTGCACAATAATGCATGCATGGTGCATTTTATGCAGCACCCCTGTATGGTGTGAACAGGGCACATAGATAACAATTAGTTATTAAGCACTCTTGTGTCGGTCAATGCTAAACCTAAGGCTGGTTCACACCTGAGCGTATTTTTTCTGCTCGTTCTTCAGCTCATTTTTTAGCACTTTTTCCATTCAGTGAAACGCGCATTTCACTGGCGGTATGATTTTTTGTTTGTTTTATTCCTTATTTTCTTTTCTCTATTCTATTTTTTTCCACTTTCAAACTTCCCGCCGGCTCCGCCCCCCTGCGACGCGGCCGCTCGCAATGGACGGAACCCGCCGGAGGACACAGCGGGGATCGCAGACAAGGTAAGACTTGTACGCTGTATTCCCGAGTGTGGCTCGGGGTTACCGCTTTGTTAACCCCGATCCACACTCGGGAATACCAATGGAAACGCGCGGAAAAACGCCCCAAAGAAGCTAAGAAGTACTGCTTTGGGCGTAGGGCGTTTTTCAGCGCCCAGGTGCGAACTTTGCCCACAGGCAATTATTGGTTTTCACATGTTGAGCAATTTTACGGCGCATAGGAAAGCGCTGTAAAACGCCCAGGTGTGAACCAGGCCTTAGTCTTAGAAAGGATAACAACGGTGGTCAGATTTTCAGCAAATCTTATTTAAAGCCCAACTCCAGCCAATTAGGGTTGAATGGTGTGAGGAAGTTAGATCCTCTGCTGTTAGTGTCCCCATTTGAAAGTTTTCTCCTCCTTTCCTGTGTATTTGTTAGGCCCCCACGTCCTATCTATGTATTTCACAGATGTCAGACAGAACAGGAAGGGAAAAAAAATCACCCAAAAGGGACCCAGCAATAAAACACAGCTCCTGATTTAAGCCTTCTATGGCAGACCTGGGCATTTTACAGCCATGGGCCGTACCCAGCTCTTTGTTTATCCCTGTCTAGCCACTGGTCTGGACACAGACAGATCACTGACGTGCTCAGTTATTGGCTGGGTGACAGTGAATGCACCAACCTCCAAGGCCACTGCATCCACTGCTAGCCCTGCATAGGTTGGCGATTGGTGTCCAGACCATGGTCTTCTTCAGTCCTTGGTTGCTGGGACTGCTGGTGTCCTAGCAACCAATGATGTCAGGGGTCCTCCTCCTCTGCAGTCAGTGGCTACTAGGACCACAGAGAGGTCCTAGCAACCAGTGACGTCAAATGTGTTCCCACTTCCAGCATTACAGGAGGACGTCAGAGTATCTTCTTCTGTCCTCTCCTGCAGCTCCAGCTCCCGCCTTTGGCCTATCAAGAAAATAGAGGAAAATAGAAAATCAGGTATGTTCCACATATTATGTGGGAACAATAAAGCTTCATTCAGGGCCCTTTAATGTGCGGTACCTATTGTGCGTTACAGTGCAGCAGGCGCGTTGCATGCACTACTTTTTTCTACAACATTTTGGCCAGGAGGTGCAACAAACCTGCCGCAGGGTAGGTGCGTTGCGTGGTACCATGTGATTAATGCATGGCATGAACGGACCGTCACACCTACAATGTCTATTGGTTCGGCCCTCCACAACAGTCCCAGTTTCTCACATGGCCCCTTGAGAAAATTAATTGGCCACCCCTGATCTAAGGTTTAAAGCAGGGATAGGCAACCTCTGCATTCCAGCTGTGCTATAACTGCAAACCCCATCGTGCCCCTGCCTCTTGGAGCCATGCCTAGTTTAGAGAGGAAAGGATTACTTTGATAAGTCAGGGAACATGCGTAGATGATAAGAATTAATTTTAATTTTCTGATAGCATAGGATGTCAGGCCTATGAGGACACAAAAACACATTTTTAGTAGTGAGGAATGATGGGAACGTCTGACAACGCTGTTCAATCTTTCCAGTCCATCCCACACACCATTTCTTGTATGGGCATTGCTGGGGCAGGAAGTGAGGGAAAACCAACCTTCTGATAGGATCACATACATTAATACAAATCTGACCAGAATCTATCCAATCCAAAAACATAAATAGTTTGGCTGGAGTTGGGCTTTAAAAGTCCCATTATTTAAAGAGTCCCTGTCACCATTAATTTCAACAAAAAAATCCATACAGTTAGGTGCATATACCATATTTTATCCATGTTATTTATCCGCAAAAGCCTCCCTTGTGTAGACATCCAAAAGCCCTGAGACTGCTGCTAGGCCCCATGTTGAACGTGGTGTCAGCAGCCCCAGCATACTCAAGAGTATTTAATTTCACTCTTCCCACAGCAGCTACAAAAAAAATATTATGGAGGGGCTGGGCAAATGAGCTGGACCAGCACAGCCAATTACATACTCCCGTTAAAGAAGAGGGTTATGACATTAACAGAAGGGAAGGGGCTGTGCTAGGGAATTTAATTTTCCTGAAGTAAAGTTTTCTAGCAAATTCAGTGCTGGCTTATTTCTTAGGAGAATTGATATTTCTGAGGTAAACTCATTGGAGACAAGTTCAGAAGAACAGTTACGCCAGTGAGTGACGTCACTCGCAGCGCCGAATCACGTGCTACACTATGGGCGTGAGTATCTGCGGTAAGGTAGCCCGCAGAGAAGATGGCGCCCGCTCTCACCGTGGTACTCTGCCCAGCCGTATCCCCTCACGATGTCCCTGTAGTCATCCAGCTTCTCCCTGTAGCTGACTCGTATCAACACGTATTTGAAGGTGCCGTCTGGATCTATATCCACCAGCGGGACCTTCACCAGCTCAGCCATGCCTGCCTTCTGCTTGCCAGTGACAGCGGCGGTGTCCAATCAGCAGTGGCCCCGCCCTCTCAGGTCGGCTGTCGAATGAAAAAGTAGAACGAGGCGTGCAGATTGTCAGATCGTCCTGCAAATCAGGCTTGCAGGGGGAAAACCTCACTTCCGCTCAGTGTTGCCATGGAGATGTGCTACTGAGAGTAAAGCTGAACTCAAGGCAAAGAGCTAAATAGGCCAATGACTGAAATACATGTCATGGAGCTGTTTTACATGGCACAGGTTTATATTTCGGTCTGCTCAGTCTTTAGATGAGCCCCATTCACACCTGACAGTTTTGTTGCTCCTTTGCCATAATGAGACAAACTCACCATGATAAATCCTTTTATTTTCAATGGTGCCTGTGTAAAGCTGAGTGTTGTCACCTGTAGCTCGAAAAAAGTACCGTTTACTTCAATGTGAAAAAGCGCATTTTACACACAATGTGCACCTAACAACCATCTTCTCCTAGTAACTAGCTGTCTCTGAGCTAAAACAAAACGTTCAAGCCTAAAGATGTGCAAACAAGCTTCAACAGAGTCTGAAACATTGATGCACAAGTGTGAATAGGGGCTTACACAGCCCTAGCAGAAAGCACAGCCAGCCTGGTGACCTGACTTTTCTCTGAGATAGTTATGCAACACAGCCTAGTCACCTCCCTGCCTCTAGCCTGTGACTGGACAGTAAATGAGCAGCAAGAGACTGATGAGGTTATCTTTCTGCCCTATCCTACAGTCAGCATGTTACTTGTCGTCACCCATGCTTGTAGGACAATCTGATTGGGACCAAGTTCTGCCCCATCTTCTCCCAGTGCTGATGTGCAGGGGATTGCAGGAGACTGGAATTAAGTTGCATTTCAAAATACATTGGGGGAAAGTTATGGAAACGGGAGCAGACAAAATCTGGAGCAGCTGTGCACGGCAACCATTCAGCTTCTCTCTTTCATTTCCAAATCTTAGCTAAACAAACTGAAATGAGAAGCTGATTGGTTACTATGGGCAACTGCTCCCCATTCTGTCTGCCCCAGTTTTAATAAATTCCCCCCATTGTTATAAAAAAAGGCACAATTGCACTCATTTGGGAGCGTTCAGCTTTAAAGGTGGCTGCTCTAGCATCCCTAACTTCCAGGATCAGGGATACCAACTTTAGAACCATGTCTGGAAATCTTCCAGTACTCCAAGGATCACCATACACATTATGGTGTACAATCAACTTTAGATCTACCAAAACTATGTAATATGAGGATATACCTATTCTTACCAATCAATGAAGATTGAATCAGGCAGGCTCTTTTACTACATACTTGTTGGTAGATATAAAGGAGATTGTACAACCAGTAGGGCTGCAACTAACACTTATTTTCATTAAGATTATTAGGTTCAATTAATCGAACAACAGTACTTTAATACAGCGCAATGCAGACTACCACCAGCTATAGAGGAATACAACAAATCCCAGCATTAGTACATTATACATACTGTGTATAATGTATTGCTGGGATTTGTATTCCTCTATAGCTGATGGTACATTGCGCTCTATAATATACAGCACAATGTACCATCAGCTTTAGAGGAATACAAATCCCACTATCCCAGCAATACATTATACAGCGAATTGTGGCATGTGGGGGGAAAGTGCAGGCAGTCTTACATGAGCAGTCTCCCAGCAACTTTCTTCCGAGATCGCGGGCCTGTCTGTCAGTGGCTGCTGTCCCCCCACGCCTGCTCCTCCTTGCTTTATCTCCACCCTGTGACGTCTCCCTGTGCCGATCATGGATGCGGGTGGGTCTGGCAGCGGCGAGCGGGTTTGGCAGTGGCAAGCGGGTCTGAGAGCTGAGTGAGGCGGGGAGGTGAAGCGGCGTGAGAAGCAGCAAGCCGCGAGCAAGGCAACTAATCGAATGTCAACTAATCGATGAAAGAAAGAATTGACAAAATTTTCCATCACACTGTGGTTGAGAGGCGTGTTTGTGGTGCCATTGAATTTAATGGCACTGCAATGCACCTACGGCAGCAGAATTTGTCAGGCCGAAACCGAAAATTACTTTTTTTCCCCCCTTTTTTTTTTTTTTTCTTTCATAGTTGTAAGCACATGGAGCTTAAATAGCTTCAGCCAGAAAATGACAGCTGCCAGTGGCAAGATTCCACCGACGGCAGATGAATGTAAATACAGCAGGTAGTGGAAGTGTGCAATAGCCAGCCTGCTTTTGGCCATTTCAAATTGCAAAAGCCAGTAGCAGGCTGACTATTGCACCCGCCCACTGCTTGCTGTGTCCTCCTCCCAGCGTGGAGGAGAGAGCTAGGGGATCCAACCGACTAATTGAGAATGAGAAAAGTTGACAACTATTCTCATTGTCGATTAATCAATTAGTTGGTTGCAGCCCTAACAACCAGATTGTAATGTGTGGGGAGCTTCAGGGCCTGTGTTGTCTGGCTTCTGCTACAAGTCTATGGGAAAGTGAAACTTGCTTGAAGTAGGTCAGAAGGAGGGCAGTTGCAGGTCGGATGCACCTGCCAGTGGGGGGAATTTATAAAAACTGGAGCCGACAGAATCTGGAGCAGTTGCCCATGGCAACCAATCAGGCTCTCTCCCATTTTCAAAGCTTAAAGTGACATTAAAGTAAAAAATGTTTTCCCTCCCCCCAATGTTAATTAAAGCACTTACCTTAAATGATGTCTCTTATTCCGATCTTCTTTCCTGTCGTTTTCATCTGTCTCTTCAGCGCTGCTGCGGGTCTCCGATCCAGCACTGACTCCTCTGAGCTTGCTGGCACTTCCTGTCCCACGGTGTCTGCATGCGGGTGCACGCGTCCATAGACTTACCTTGTGTCTCTCCACGTCTCCCGGCCGAAAATCTGAACTGCTCATGCGCCCGCCCCAAGATGCAGCCGCCCAAGAATTTTCATATTTTCTAACGGGAGCGCACGGGGAAGACACAGGTAAGTATTAACCCTTTTCAAAGTGTTTTATTTTTACACTCTTTGCATATATCTACTGCTTGCTAGCAGGAGATATATGCAAACAAAACAGAGGGTTTAATAACCCTTTAACGGAACAAACTGAAGAGAGCTACTGATTGGTAACTATAAGACCACTGTCTTCTCCGGTTTTCATGAATTCCCCCCATGAATGATCTTAGAAGCACCTCAAAATTATGTCAAATTGATGCATCTGAATGAATTGTGAATCCTGCACTGCCTCTTACACCACTGTAAAATAAACGGAATGACAGTAAATGCTGCTATATAAGTGTAAAAAAAACACCATATCACCATCAATAGAACCTTCAAGAGCAATTACATTACTCCCAAGGACAAACAATTCATCTTCTATCATTGCAACACTTCCATAAATATATGTCAAGTTTTGGAAAGTGCCACACTGGTTAATTGAGTCCAGTGTGCGTTCTTTATTAGATGCAATGTAAAGGTAAAAAGTCAAACGTGTTTCGGGGGCTCAGAGATTTGTATGCTGGCAATGATGCATGATAATACTGGACAGGTAATTCTGGGAAATATGTCAGAGAGCCATAAATATATGTAAGTGAATGAAGTCCAAATATAAAATGTGTCCAAATAAAGTCTCTGAAAATATAACTGTGTATCTTTTCTGTGTCTTTTCTATCTTTCAGCACGTTTAGGTGCAGAACATTCAAAGCAGTGCTGTGCCCCACACAGAGCTCACAGAGAAACTCCTCGGAGGTAAGCGACCGTACCAAAAATTCAGGTCTAATGTGCTTTATTTGATAAGCCCTCACATCCACTGATCATTTGTTCCCCAATGGAAAACCAGATAAGACTCCACAGTGTTCCACCAATAATAACCATCCAATTGTATTAAAAATCCGAACTCATTAGCCCCTAATAACAATTTTGCACATTTTTGTGCATTGTTTCAGTCTTGAGAGTTTTTATTACAGTGAGAAGGTGATGGTTGTGTTACATGCATTTTTCAGGCACTTGCATAGAAGTTTAGGAGGCCAAAAATGCATTATTTTGCCCCAAAAAAGCTCATTTACTTTTTTAGCTATAAGCAATGTTCAGGTACCACTGAATATAATAAGATTCTTTATTTTGAGCATGCCCAACAATAAGCTAGGTATGAATGGGGATTTACGTCTACAACTGTACCAGCTAATAAATGCATATGTGTTAGAATCCCTTGCTTGAAGTCTCTGTTGATGAAAACTGATGCCCTCAATGCAAGTCTCCCAGCTTCTATTGATTGCACTTATTCATCAGTGCAGTTTTACCGTGCTATAGTGGCCCATTCTAAATGTATGCGCTGTCTTAAAGTAAAATTATACTGGAGGGTCCCATCTTCAAGGCCACATAGTGACATGGTATTTGACATAGTGTTCACTATGCCGACTTGAGGAAGGGACCCTGCAAAGCCCCAAAACGTCAGTTTCTTATGACTTTGTAACAATGTCTTCACAATAAATCGGGAAACACATTTATTTGGAGTAATGGCTTTGCATCTTCTTTTATTAAAGGAGAATTATGAGGCGAGTGATTTTCACTCAGCCTCATAATCTGAGCCGACCTGTGACAATTAAACTGTCACAGGTCGGCTCAATAGATCGGGAAGTGAGCGAACACATACCGTGCAGAGAGCCGTGACTGTCACTCAAGGCTCCCTGCAGGGATTCCCCAGCTCCGATTTTCCAGTGCTGACTGGCGAAACGGACGGGGAAGGGGGCGGGCACAGCTGGCTCTGCCTCTGGATAGGCAGAGCCAGCTGTCAATCCCGCAGCTGGGTGGATCTCGACAGCGATGTCGGGATCCATTCCGGCTACAGCGTCTCAGTTATACTGAGCTTTGGGTCACAGGAGAACGCTCGTTTTTGTTTTCTCGTGACCCTTAGGAGAACTATGTGGAAAAGCCCTGACCCCATAGTTCTCCTTTAATAGAAAAAGATCCATAAGGTTGTTTTTTTTGTTATCAGAAAAGGTGATAGAAAACCCTACTTGTCACTTTGTGACAGACCTCAATGGCAAGGTCACTTGGTGTATTTTTTCTAATGAAAGCTAA